AGTCTTATCTTGATAAGACATTCAAAGCTAAGCTACAAAGTAATCAAGAGCTGATCGATGACAGTGTAACTAAATATGAACTGAATGCCGAACAGGAACGAGCCTTCCGAATCATTGCCAATCATGCTACTGATCCAAGTGGAGAACAACTTAAAATGTATTTAGGTGGAATGGCTGGTACAGGAAAGTCTCAAGTTATCAAGGCCTTGATACATTTCTTTGAGCAATGACGTGAAGGTTATCGCTTCATATGCATGGCATCCACAGGTTCTGCAGCTGCCCTTATTGCTGGGTCTACATATCACTCTATGCTTGGCTTTAGTAAATATGGTGATTCACAGGCATCTTTAATGCAGGTTCGAGCACGCCTTCAGAATGTTGACTATATATTTGTAGATGAAGTGTCAATGGTTGATTGTCACAGTCTTTATCGTATCAGTTCTAAGATGTGTCAGGCACTAAAAAATGAAGGACAGCCTTATGGTGGAGTGAATATGATATTTGCTGGTGATTTTGCTCAGTTACCACCTGCAGGCACGAGTTCTCCATTATATTCACATAAGGTAGCTACATCTATTCACACAACGAACTCATATATTGAGCAGGAAATTATTATAGGCAAAGCACTGTGGCATCAAGTTACGACTGTAGTTCTTCTGCGTGAAAATATGAGACAGCGCCAACAAAATCCCAATGATGCTAAGCTATGCAAAGCTCTAGAGAACTTGCACTTTAAGTCTTGTACGATAGCGGACATAAAGCATCTCCAAACACGCATTGCAGGTCGTGGTGCCAATAAGCCAAAGTTAAATCAGCCTAGATTCAGAGATGTGTCAATGATAACTTCATGGAACTCCCTCCCTGAACCCACTCATTTTACTACATCCCAATGTTCCTCATCGCGTGATTTAGACTTGGATGGATGATCAGCTTCTATCTCACTCTCATGCAGCATCATAGATGCAAGGTTATCCAGCTTGTCAAACTGCTGAGTGGTGAAGTGCAGAGAGTGTCGCCGGATGTGTGCATGAGGTGTTTGATTATATTTATCGGCCCAGAAAGTATGACAACATAACAACAAGAGCTACTTCATGATGATGAAAGCTTTGACAAGCCATTAAATCTTCAGAGTGAGGATCAAGTGGATACTAGTATTGAACAACTAACATCGGATGCAGATAATAGCTTTGAGAATGACTATCATGTTGATGAAACCGCATTTGAGACTTTTATAGGTCTGCGACAGGAAGAAGAATCTGGCAATGAGTCATTTGAGTCAACACATAAAACTGCAGGTCATCCACTGGCATCCATCAAAGAGGTATCAGAAGTGGTTAAAGAAGAAGAAGAAGAAGAAGAAGAAGAAGAAGAGGAAGATGAGTTACTACTTACCACAGAGAGTTCAGAAAAGGCTGCACAACAGCAGGCAAAAGAACTGGAATTAGAGTTGATGAAACCGGGACAATTTATAAGCGAGCACCCACAGCAGGAAACACATTGAATAAGACTGCTGGCAGAAGAACAAAGTAAGGTACCTAACTTTGTAGGTGGTTCTTTGCCACGTCATGATGCTGGAGACTGAGAAGAATACTGTGTTACCATGCTAACTCTGTTCAAACCTTGGCGCAGTGGTAAAGACCTCAAGTCCGACAAAGATGTGTCTTGGCATGACACCTTTGAGAAGCATTCATTTACACCTCATCAGATAGAGATTATGTACTTCCACATTCGATATGAATGTACTGATGCTCGAGATGATTTTTTTGCACAGCGCAAAGCAGGTAAATTTAATGGTAATCTACCCTTTGGCCTGGGTTCAAATGCGTTGGATGACTTAGACGAGCAGAACTATGATGATACCTTCAACGGTCTTCTCAACGACACAGACCTAATGCCAGATTCAGCAGAATGGGACCAAATTGGAGACAAGATGCTTGCCAAAATGAGTCATATGATGCAAATTGAACATATATTGCAAACTTCTGGCTGGTTAGATGGTTTAGATAGCATTGCAGAAGCAACAAACTCTATCACAGCGCACATTCATGGAGATAGTCGAACGGCCATTGTGTGGCGTAATTTGCTGGCTGAAAAGCGTCAAGAGATTTTACGTGGTCAGGAAGAGCAAGCAGCAGACCATTTACCAGAAGCTTCAAAGTTTAATAAAAGTGTGATCAGGGATGTCAATGTAGTCAAAATTATTGACCAGTCTTATCTTGATAAGACATTCAAAGCTAAGCTACAAAGTAATCAAGAGCTGATCGATGACAGTGTAACTAAATATGAACTGAATGCCGAACAGGAACGAGCCTTCCGAATCATTGCCAATCATGCTACTGATCCAAGTGGAGAACAACTTAAAATGTATTTAGGTGGAATGGCTGGTACAGGAAAGTCTCAAGTTATCAAGGCCTTGATACATTTCTTTGAGCAATGACGTGAAGGTTATCGCTTCATATGCATGGCATCCACAGGTTCTGCAGCTGCCCTTATTGCTGGGTCTACATATCACTCTATGCTTGGCTTTAGTAAATATGGTGATTCACAGGCATCTTTAATGCAGGTTCGAGCACGCCTTCAGAATGTTGACTATATATTTGTAGATGAAGTGTCAATGGTTGATTGTCACAGTCTTTATCGTATCAGTTCTAAGATGTGTCAGGCACTAAAAAATGAAGGACAGCCTTATGGCGGAGTGAATATGATATTTGCTGGTGATTTTGCTCAGTTACCACCTGCAGGCACAGGTTCTCCACTATATTCACATGAGGTAGCAACATCTATTCACACAACGAACTCATATATTGAGCAGGAAATTATAGGCAAAGCACTGTGGCATCAAGTTACAACTGTAGTTCTTCTGCGTGAGACTGTAGTTCTTCTGCGTGAAAATATGAGACAGCGCCAACAAAATCCTAATGATGCTAAGCTACGCAAAGCTCTAGAGAACTTGCGCTTTAAGTCATGTACGATGGCTGACATAAAGCATCTCCAAACAATAAGCCAACGTTAAATCAGCCTAGATTCAGAAATGTGTCAATGATAACTTCATGGAACTCCTACCATGATAAGATTAATGAACTTGGCTGTGAACGATTTGCACAAGAGACCGGTCAGCCATTACATACCTTTTATTCTGTTGGGATACAGGTGATGAAGGTAAAAAATCAAAGAGAAATCAAAGGGCACTGAATCCCCAATGTACTTCTAATGTCATTGATCCTTTCCTTCAACAGAAACTATGGGATCTTCCACCGGCCAACTCTGAACATCGTGCTGGAAAATTAACTCTATGTTTGGGATTACCTGTAATGATTAAATCCAATGAAGTGACGGAATGTAGTGTCACCAATGGTGCAGAGGGGGTTGTAGTTGGATGGAAATCACGACCTATTGCTGATAACAAGAACACATTAGAAACACTGTTTGTCAAGTTGACAGCACCACCAACACCAATACAACTTGAAGGACTTCCCGAGAACGTGGTACCTATAAGTCAACAGGGACTAAAGACGAAATGTATGATGCAGAATGACAAGTTAATAATGATCATGAGACATCAGGTGGCTGTGCTGTCCAACTTTGCCATGACAGACTTTGCATCCCAAGGGCGTATGAGACCTGATAATGTGTGTGACCTGCAGAACTGTAAGAATCATCAGTCCATTTATACTTGTCTCTCACGGGGATCTACCTATGAGGGGACGATCATTGTTCAAGGATTTGACTCTCATAAAATGACCGGTGGATTGAATGGATACATGAGACAGGAATTCCGTGAACTGGAGTTGTTAGATGAGATTACCAAATTACGATACGAGCAGAAACTTTCAGATAAGGTTGAAGGGGTTACACGCAATGCTCTGATTCACTCCTTTCACACACAAAAAGGGCATGCCCACATTCCTAAAGGTATACACTTTAAACTTAAATGGTCCTCCGACAAACCATTTTCTCTAGATCCACCAGAAGAGAAAAGTCCATGGAAGATTATTCCTGTTCCCAAGAAGAAGAATAAGAAGAAGGGCAATCAGACTGAAGTTGAAGCAGAAAATGAACCAGAGGGTGAGCTTAGTGATGCACCACATACCTTAAAGAATGTTGTCAAATATGTCACTGCAAAGGGAACCAAGGTTTTAAATACTCTAAGCAATGATCCTGGAGAAAGACGTGGGACTAAACACAAGCGAGATATTGATGAAGTGAAGGAGGAAAATCCTGCCAAAAAGCAAAGAACAGACATACAGCTGAACAATGTGACTTCCTGTGCACCTGTAGGATTTGAACGGGATGCAGAATCATACAGTTGTGCTTATGATAGTCTGTTTACCATCCTATATGACATCTACTACACTCAGACTCGGCAATGGATTGCTACTGTCTCAGTGCAAAATGCTTACTTGAAAACCTTTACAGATGCATTTACGCAAGTGACTGAGGGCACATTGACCATGGAAGAGGCTAGAGATATGCTGCGACAAGTGCTTCACAAAGAGGATCCTATCGCATTCCCAGTAGAGGGACCTAATGGAACAGAACTTTTTAATTTATGCAGCATTGTACTCAAATATGAAGAGGAATACCTCTCAAGGACACTTACTGAGGTAGCCACTTAAGAATAATGATATATATAACCTAAATTTATACAACTTATGCCAGACCCGGAGTGTATGCTAAGAACAGTGATACAAAGGAGCAATGGTCCACTCCACCACACAAGTCTACCTAGAGTGTGGTTATACAAACCTATGCACTAACACAGGATTGTGGCTATGAACACAGGTAGGCATAGCTATGCATAGCCTCTACATGGCAGTGCATAGCACAGCCTACCCTGACTAATCAACAGGTATCTAGGTGCACAGCACCTTGCGTTGCTTTGAGTCTAGACCTTTGGGAGACTGATGAATTATCTAATCTAACACTTTCCCTTAATTCAACCAGTCTTCCCTCTTCAACACAATGCAAGAACCGTCTCATATACCTCTCCCTGAACCCACTCATTTCACAACATTCCAATGTTCCTCATCGCGCGATTTAGGCTTGGATGGATGATCGGCTTCCATCTCACTCTCATGCAGCATCATAGATGCAAGGTCATCCAGTTCATCAAACTGCTGAGTGGTGAAGTGCAGAGAGTGTCGCCGGATGTGTGCACGAGGTGACACAGCTGGGTGAACTAGCATGCGATGGGACAGTTGATTTGATGCCGGAATGGTGATGCGTTCCAATTCAATGGGTGGTGCTGGCCAGATACGCATGATGACATAGTAAAATGAAAGGAGGATGATTGCAGGGAAGAGTGCCCCTGCAGTAATAAGAAGAGCGAGAGCGAATGTTTTCATAGTGATAAATGGTGCAAAGAGATGATTTGAACCACAGCAGTGAGAATGGTATATGACGTGGCAGACACATGATCCGAGGAAGTCCAAGGAAATACAGACCCGAGAATGTCCGAGTCATTCAGCACATTCAGAAATATCCGAGGGTTTGGATATTAGATCTTCAAGTCCGTCATCTCGCAGCAGTAGATAATCTTTGCCGCTGGCAAGGACTTTGTTAAAATGTTCACTACCATCACTGCAGTAGGAATATACACCAGTGCAATTCGACCAGCCTCCACAGTGTCTTGAAGCCAGAAGAAGCACAGATCCAAGTGCTTTATTCTCTCATGATGTTCTCAATATTTAGAGACACTGATCACAAATGTGATATAAACATTGTCAGGAATCGTTACTGCCACGCGGAGCAATGGCCCACTCCACACAAGTTGGGTGTTCATATGGACGAGTTAGACAACAGTCTGGCTGTTCAACGTAGAGCTCGAGAGATCACTCCCTTTATAAGATACTTCAAAGAGCTCAACATTGCCATCTCCGATATGGCCTGCTCTGCGGTGATCACACATTTTGCTCAGTGGTGGAATGTAGAAGGATCTGAGATTGAGAAGATCAGACTGATAGATCAGCAGAACAGGGAGTTGGATGAGGAAGAGGCGATGGTGCGTGGTATTCTCGTCTTTGTGGATCTTAGCTGATAAATTCAATAGAATATTAACATTCTGGATACTCACCGACCATGGCATGATATTGAACAATTCACATTCGAGCTATCGCTCTTTTCTCAGCTACGTGTTCTTATTATCGACACTCCATTCACCATTCAGCCACTATCGCTCACTCTTCCAAAGTCGGTTCGAGGTATCCAACGCGCTATTAATCCAGATCGACCTGCCGTTGCACAGGAAGAAAGAATAATCACCGACTATTTATTCCAGGAACTTCCACAGCTTCGATGTTTACACGTTGCTCATTCTGAGCTCAGTATGTTTCATAACATGCCAGATCATGAGAGCTTCAATGGCTCTCAATTCACTGGACATCGTACGATCAATGGAATTGTCGAATATGGATGATGCGCAGTTGATGAAGACATTCGAGGTCATCGGACAGATCCAGATGAGCTGACGACTTGGGGTATGCCAGAGTATGAGTGTGACCCAGACAATGATTATTCTCCTGCTGCTTGGCCCTTTATGCAAAGTTTGGATGGATACTTCTATTGACTTACCGAGTTTCTTCCATTTTACAATGTTATCTCTGCCTCTTTTGTAGAGTCATGTTGCTTACAATTTGTCATGATTTGTATCTGTTTGCAGCATGATTAAATAGGATATACATTACTGAATGATGGTGAGTGAGCTATTCATGACTACAATAACTAAGCTAACAAATGTGAATTCTACTCAGAATTTGTGTCCATATTCTTCTCGCAATTCTCAGTGTCAAGACGTAAACGTTTGATGCCTCCAATCGTGGAGTCGTCTTCATCATAGCCTATCTTATGCTTGACCCTTCGAATTGGCAATATAGGTGTGACCAGCGAGTTCATAATAACATGGTTGCGATCCTGGAATAGAGGTACGTCAGCATTTGATCTATCCGATCCATTTGATTACCTTCTTACTGACAGCACTTGACGATCCAGAATGCAGATCGATTGTAACTTGCTCAACATGAGCATGCGTCTCTTCGATATTGGCACAGTGCAAAAGGTGACCTGAAGCTCTACGAGTTGACCTTCCTGGATAACTGATGGCTTTACGACAACAATGCTATATATGATAGTCAGCATTTGTGTTCTGCATCATTTTAAACATTCACTCACCTTGTTTCTCCTGAAGGCCTGGTGATACGTTCAAAGTATTGAACAACATTGTTTGTAAGATACTTCTCATCTCGAATACCGCTTCTTAGGATGCCAAACGGATCAATGTCGTTTCCAATCAGGATCTCATTGTCGTCCTCCATGTCTCGCGTAAAAGAAAGGTACCGATTGGAGAACTCTAACACAAGTTCATCATGTTCTCGTATTGGACTCTATGGGATGAGCATGCCTTTATCGAGATGTTGAGCAAACAGCTGATGAATGGCAATAACACCCTTGACTGCTTCTGCAAAGGTCGGAGAACCGAGTCCCGATAATTTCACAGACTGCATTGCTCTGAAGAGCTTTGAAGGGAGCCTGATATCTTTGCTCTGAAGAGCTTTGAAGGGAGCCTGATATCTTGTGAGTCGTATTTTTGTACATGTAGACAATGACGCTTACTGATCATTTCGCACAATTGGTGGCAAGTCCTTTTTGCAAAGAAATCCTTGCACGTGAAGAACTGCATCCTCTGGCTCGCTGTCCTCAATGCTATTGTATGGCCATATCAGATTCAGCTGAGTCTTGCTGTCTTCTTGACTAAAGACTTGTGTTGTTACTCGAGCGTAGTCAGGCTGTGCCCTTTGTGAGTGACTTATTCATCATTAACTGTATAAACTCTTACCTTGGCCATGTTGATTAATTGATGCATAGCATTACCACCTTGACTTTGTCCCTCAATAACTTTGGTTAACAACTGCTCTACAAATATGTTGTGAGTTTTATGCAGCAAGTGGAAGCCGTCTAACTTACTATACTTTTCCGCATTGTTTCTCATAAATTCCACGGCCATCTTGAATATACTGTAATGACGGTGTGATGCCAATATTGTTGGATAGATGAAGAGTAAACTAAGAGGTGAATGTTTTCTTTGATATGATAAATCCAATGCTGCTGTTCAACTTGATATCGTATGATGTAGCTAAGGAGACAATAATAGTCTGGATGCCCTAAAACGTCCAAGGTGCAATATATTCCCTATCATGTGATAATTCATTCACCCTCCAGATGTTCTTTATATAGTACATGGGCTTCTGTCGCTTTCCTACTGGCCAGTATAATACTTGAAAATACTTGAAAATAGTGGGACAATCATCCCCAACAAAATTTCCTCCTCAAAGATCTAATATTCAAGATCATCATACACTATATTCTATTTACATCAGCTGTATTTAAATTGTATAAAGACTAATGACCTTATGCTCTCATCGACGTTCAACCTATCCTTTGTATCCTCTTGTCTTTTAACAATGCCTCCTCGCACCAATTCAACTCCTACTAAGTGTGTTCCACTATACTGCTGGTGTTTGTAGCCTCTTGATAGGTTTCATTCTAGGAACTGTGGTCGTACTGCTGGCCGAAAGTCAATCAAGTCTGATAAGATGGTCGCTGACTCTGAGTGAGTGTTTTACTTCATGCCATGATAGCAATATGATTTTATATAAACAGTGTTGAGATGGATGAGACCTCACCTTCAAAGCAGAAGATAACTGCAGTAAAGTACATGTTTGATTTCAATGTTGTGACATCTCTCTAATACGACTCAGGTCAACTCCCAAAGCTGTAGTGCCTATGCCTCGTAATGTGAAGGCCAAAAACATGATGGACTATAGTGATGAGGATACAGTAACAAGGTACGTGCAGCTTACATTGTTTTTGATTATATGTTCAGCCGATGATCACAGGGAGAAGGCAATCACTATCCCTCACAAAGGTGGTAAGAACAACCAGACCATAGACAACAGCGATGAGGATATGGCAGTAAAGTGTGTGACTCATACAACATGTCTATTCAAAAGCTGACTATCTGCGTTAGTTCTTCTCATAAAGCTGGTAAGTATCAGAAGGTCGTCGAGAGCAGCAACGATGATAAAACCAATCTGTATGTCTTTCTGATACTGCTGATAGAAACTAGTTTAATCCTCTGATTTATCCAAGTGCTTCATGCATGTCCGGTCGTACCGCTGCCAAGATCGCTAGGTAAGTATTTTGTTACTGAGTCTTGAGTCGCTGTTTATAATGTGTGTAGTGCTAAGCTGAAGGATGTATTCATGGACAATGACTCCGATGTCGAGCAGTCTTTGGAGAGGTACGCTGTAGTCTTTTGTCTTTCTATTCTTCAAGTTTGAGTATCTTGTAGTGATGCGGCCCTACCAATCAATGAACCCGAAATTACCGAGACTCCGAAGAAGAAGGCGAATAAGGCATTCGTTCTTTTGCCGACTCCCATTAGTCCTTCGCCCAAGTTTGTAGTTCAATTTATACTGTTTTCAGACTCACTCATACATATGTTACTACAGCAAAGGAAAGGCGACTCATACACCCACCAAGCGAGTTTATGTCAGTGATTCTGACAAGGATGCACAGCCGGAACAGTATGTAACTTCAGTTTGACTATCGTCTTATATTTTTATACTATTTTATTCAGATCTTCTCCTATTAAGAAAGGTCGTAACAGGCAAAGTAGGCCTGACTCTGAAGCAGAAGCATCGACAAAGCAATCCAAGCTTAATCCTTATGATGTTATGACGTATGTTATTTTCTTATCTCACTTCCCTATACTTTAAACTCACTTTCTTACATAGCCTACTGCGCCTTGCCATGACAAAGATGTCAGAGCAGGAGAGACAAGATTTTTGCTTGCAAGTAAGGCAATACGATCCTAGAGACTGCGAGTATGTTAATAGCACAAGTATCTAACTGTCTATTGATTTCATTGAATAGCATCCGCTTGTCTCCAACCAAATCTGCCAGTGGATCTAAAGGCAAAACCGAGGATGTTCTGTAAATATGTTTAATTATATTGTTATATGATACATTCTAAAACCTATTTGTACCACAGCATTCACCAGCCTTCACGCTCAGATGTTCAGAAACTGTTGCCCTCGTAAGCAAACATGAATATTTTCTGGTATATTCATTGATTCTAATATCCACCTTAGTAAAGCAATCGTAAAGGATGGAAAGATGGAGATCAATGTAAGTGTCGTTGTTTGTTCCGATGCATTTCTAAGAATAACCATATTTGTTTTAACTTTTAGAATGAGTACATACATTCCACGCCTCTGTGCTTTAACTTATACTGTTTTCAGAGATACTGACGAAGGAGAGGAAAATTTTGAGTGCCAGGTCACATCCA